GTAGGGGTAATTATGGCACATTTATAAGATTTAGATAACTTTCCTAAGTTAACGTTTATCACATCATATTACATTTCTAAATTTTTATCTGATGCAAGTAAAAAGAAAATCCTTTTTACTACTCTGTATGTTATACAAAGGCAATTCTCTCTGTTTAATCCTATCTATTATACTCACAAGCTTGGCTAACCGAGCAACAGCATGGTACATAGTTTTACACTGATCACATGGGCAGTTATCCTTTATTGGCAATTACATTGTTGAAGACTGAATTATTCTCTTATTCCAAAACATTATAAACTGGAAAGATTTGAGTTGGATGAAATATTTTGGCCTAATTTAGCAAGCAGTTTTTCCCTACTGTTTCAGGCCTCCTGCAACCCCTTAAGACAAGACAGAGATGTTTAGAAATGCATTGCCATCTAACTGAATTGGTCACAATTCACACCTTGTTTCCAAGGAATAATAGGAAAATAAAGTCACTGGGTGAACCAAGCCTCTCTCTGTGTGTGTGTGTGTGTGTGTGTATGTCTGTGCACATATGTGGTTTTTAACAAGTCATTGAAATCCTATTACAGGAACATGCAGGACATAAAAGTTCTACGAACAGTTGGTTTTAAATGTAAGGCTGAAAAATTTCATTAGAAGAAAGAATATTAGAAAAAGAAAAAGCTGTAGCGATTTTTATATTTTTAACTAAAGGACACCTAGTTGCTTGTATTTCTTCTAAGCACTTATGTCTGTATAAGTGCTAGCAAAAATTTCCCGTTTAAAAAATTCTCATGCACAACTTGTACAGAAGTCCCATTTGATTATGCAACAAAGCCGTAAAGAGAGGCATGTGATATCACAATTCTTCACTTGGCAATCAATTACATTGGTGAAGACAGAATTGTACCCTCACTCCCTAAGTTATCAGAAACTGTAAAGAAGTAAAATCTTATACATATCTTTAAGAAACAACTGAGTAAAAGGAGAAAAAGTAATGAGCCATGCTATGATTTGTTAAAAACATTTTTTCATGTTTGACCTCCCTTTCATTTAATGTCCTGTAGAAACATCTAACTCTAATTAATTCAGAAAACTAAAATTATCAGAAGTACTAATTTTCTATAAATTGCATGTGTGTCATATGAGCTTGGCAATATAGTATGACTTTGGTTAAAGATGGTAAAATGCTACAGTTAGTGTTATTCTAAGAAGAAAATGAAGAACAGAAAAATTAATTGGTGAGTGGCTACTGTCTTCTGATGAATTTTAAATTGAGGGTTTTTTTTCCCATTACATGTCAAATTTGTAACTGATTAAGATATTCTGAGCTACTTAAAAAGGGCATGTATTAAATATCCAACTTCATAAAAAGCACTGAAAATCCTTCTCCCCAAATATTTCCAGCTTGACAGGAGCAGGCAAAAAGCATTAAGAAATGTAAACACACAAGAAAATTGCAAATCCCACCTGATGATCCAAATATATGGCATTCCTTTGAAGATGATGTGAAAGAATCTCATTCTAGCAGGCAGCAGTCAGGGGGAAAAAGGAAAGGGACAGAAGGTGCAGAATGCATGAAAAGAGCTTTAAAAGATGTAAACTAGACAGTGATCTTTCTGTTTTACGTAGAAATATAATGCTGCTTTTATCTGCTTTTTTTTTTTTTGGTGAACTGTTAACAGGTTTTGATCCCGAAACAGAAGTGATGAAAGTTTGCCACAAATCAGACTATGAACTACTACATTACATTTTGGTTTTACATATAAAATACAGTAAGCTCACGTAAATGTCTACTACAAAGACAACTATAAACCCTTTGATAAATCTGTTTTAAACATGTCCTGATTTTTGTACAGATTACAAATAAGATTGTATCTGATATGAGGCAGTATAAACAAATTAATCTAATGATCTATTAGTACTGATTTTGTTTATAATACAAATAGGTTAAAAACCTTTAACTTCAAACTTAACTAAAATAAATTTTAAAATATTCCTATGTAATTTTGACTCAGCTAATTTCAAAAAGCTATGAGTAAAACCTCAAAGGGTTAATAGCAGAACACCACATACACAATCAATGTTACTCTATTCTACTCCCATAGCAGTCAGAAAATTTTGCACTAACAGTAAAATGCAAACTTTGATTAATGAATGACTACAAGTTAGTGAGAATGGTACGACACACATTGCTTTATAGCTGACCTTTGGGCTGCTGGCCTCAAGTTTTAGTTGCATGAGCTGTGCTAGTGTGTGTTCCCGGATACTACTCAGTTCAGCTTGCTGCCGTCTCAGCTTTATTAGCAGCAGCGTGAGCTCCTCTGGCTGAAGGAGTGCAGTGTGAGAAGCCAAAGAGTAGAAAAAAGGTTAATTTGTATCCTAAACAACAGTTAATTAAACTAAGGGTTCTTAGTATTTTTCTTACAAAAACTTTCTCAAGCTATACAACAAAAGATACAGCATTTTTCCCAAACTGACCACTTTCAAATATATAATGACTACTCAAAATGCCACAATATTGTAACATTCTGTATAAAGAACAAAAAAGTGAGGGCATTGCAGCAGAAAGTCTATAGCTCCCAAACTTTTTCTCACATGCATATCAAATTGATGATACTGACTTAAGCAAAGGGGGAGATAATTCCAGCCATTAGGATATAATTATCTGTACATGGACAGCCAGTCGAGCTTAGTGAAAGAATCAAAAAATGCCCCCAGGAAAAATTAGTTTCTAAAATAATTCTTCAAATGTATGCACCAAAATTCAGAGTAAATAAAAAACCCACAGTAATGGAACTACACCAAAACCAATCATCTTTCACAACATAAAACTGCACAAGAATGACAAAAATAATTTTCCGTCCCACCTTCCACAGATCTGAGGCTACCAGTTAATTTATTGTTTTACTTTTATGACTAAGATGTACAATACAGCCTTAGAAAGGGATGAAGAATAGTATTTAAGTCCCAGGATTATATATAGGATGGAAATACAGTCACACTCGAATAAGTATTTGTCAGGTAATTCCACACAGATCAGTTTAGGTCAGATTGGGAAACTCTACCTGAACCATTCCTGGGAACCACTTGTATTAGCAATACTTCAAAAAAACCAAAACATTTAACATCACAATTATTTTTGTTATGTTCCTGTTTGCTTGTTTCTTACACTTCAGTCTCGTAATAGGTTAAATATTCATCCAGCATTTTGATTTTCTCACAAATTCTGAGTTAAAAAAAAAAAATCATAACCAAACCCACACACAAAACAACCCCTCTTGCTCTCTCCCACAGTCAAAGAATTTTCCCAAAGCAAAGTAGTGAAGAAAAAAAGCTCCAGAAGACCAAATATTAAATTGCTAAAAAATGAACACCAGTTTCTTAGAATAAAGAAGAAAAAATCCCAGAGAATAAGCGTGGCACTGGCACCGTTGTGAGCTCGTACCAAAGTGGCCCACAAGAGGGAGCAAGGGATTCCCACACAGCTTCAGTTGTCAAAACCATTTGCTTTGAGGGAAAACCAACACAAAAGCCAAATTGTCTAATGGCCAATCTTCCTCTTACAGAACTCTTTCAGTATCTGGATTTAAAATACTTAATTTCAGAGAGTAAGCGTTAAGAACCTAGACTGCTATACAAGACATTTTCAAGTTCTCTCAAAAAATCAGTGACAATGCTTTCAGTCTGAAAATTAACATCATTTCAAAGCACAAGAAAACCTATTTTTAGAAATAAGAGAATTGAAAGTAGCATCTTCAAACAAAAGGAACAGTGAATCACTTTTTCAAAATCAACACTCTTCTTGGTATGTTCTGCAAAAGCCTGATTTTAGTGCATTAAGAATAAACTATTTAATGGTACTTAAATCCAATGTTTGCAAGCAAACTTTTTTCCATAGAGGAGCCCATCGAACAGTAATTCCTACTCCTCTGTAGACATTCATAATGTCGCAAACATTTCTGACATTGCTGTAAGTGCTGTACTTTTGATACAGCTCTTGGGACTCCTGCAACAACCACAACATAAAATTTTGTTTGAAGAGCTACCTACAGGTTTCCTCCTCTGACCCCTGCAATGCCTGTGCTGTGGGCAGGACTTCTGGTTTCTACAGGCAGAAGCTTGGACCTCCTTGCCCCCCTACCTGGCTCATCAGCCCAGCTCCAGCAGCAGAGCCTGGGAGAGCTGATGGGGCTGTGAACCCAAAGGAATGTCTGCAGAAGACAAGGCGCAGAAATAAGGCACCCGCTGCCAAAGGCCAACCTTCAAGTTGCTGAAGGTGCCAGGGATTCATGCTGGGAAGTGCAAGAAACAGGGGTCGAGGCAGTGGAAGGATTAACTGGGGAGCTGTTGCCAACAGTATGATTCAAAATCGGTATTCTTAATTCATAACTCTCTCAAATGGTGATTTCAGATGGACAGAGGAAGATTATGGAAAGGAGACAAAAACTGCTAAAGAAATGACATAAATTCAGGGCAATCTCTTAGCTTTTGGCTAAGAGTCATGTTTCAGTTAGGAAGGTGGACAGTATTCACCAATATTACTTGGATGAAATACCTTCAATGAGAATTTCAGCTCTACCACAGTAAAATGGGAGATGTCAGAAAGGACATAATTTTACCAAATGCAATTTTAGTGTCCTTAAGACTTCCAAAAAAGGTCAACTTTACTTCTAGGATTTTTTAAATAATTAATGGAGAAATAAGTGTTCTGTGATGTATTCTACTCTCTCCCAGGAATTTCCATAATGTATCAAAGACAATTAAAAAAACAAAAACCAAAAAACCTTTATTTCTCAAAGAAAATCTGAACTGAGCAGCTACACAATATTCTCAGAATTCAATGGAACCATATAGTACTTCTTTATTTGCTTTAAAAAATCCCTGATAATTAAAACAAAGGCTACATTTAATGCAAGCTTTGAATAGAATAAAATTTCAGTGTTGCCTCTTCATACCTAAAGGATTATTCTTAAAAAAACCCTGATGTACTAAACAAAAATCCAACTCACTGTTTTGCCTTGGAGGTTCTGAGAAGTAACGGGCTGTAAACTCAGACCTGCTGGCATTGACCTTCTGTCGGGCACAAAGACGTGCTGTACAAAAACAAAATAGCACAGTATGATTCACAGTTATCTAAAGACTCAAAAATTATTACATGCTAAAAAAAATCAAGCCAACATCACTGATGGCAAATTTGCTATGATTTGTGCCAGCTTTGGCCAGGCATGCTCCCTGCTGATCTACTATCTAGGACACTTGAGTAGCCTACCTCTAAATTTTAGAAATAGTCTAGCTTTCATAACTCATTTAATTAGCAGTCCTCCCTCATAGTTGTTGCCCTACTGATAGCCCATATAAATAACAATTTTAGATTTTCACCCATCATTGAAAGCTGTTTAAAAAACTAAGATCTGTATACAGATGAGGTTTAAATCTTAAGTTTACCCTAATGATTTCAAACAGTCTCCTAATTACCCATCTCTTAAAAACAGGTCTGAAGTTAATGGCAAAAGCTAGCTGTGTAACTAAAAAAAATACAAACCAAATAGCATGAAAAACCAAAAGTTAAACAGGAGTCTTGTATAAAAGATACTAAATATGAAATGAAATACTAACATAAAGTGTTTCACAAGCTAAAAAAAAAATATCAGAAAGCAAAACATGGCTGAAAGGACAAGTAAGCATCCGCTCCACAGTGCTGACCCCAGTGGTATTTCTCAGATGTGTGAGAAGTACTGATTACTACATTTCCAGTGCAGCTGAGACATAAAGGATGTCAAAACAAAATGACTCCTTTGTTGATAGGTACCTAAAAACTTTCAAAAACAGACTTAGTAATCAACTGTCAGTTGTTTAAACTGCTTTAAGATGTAGTTAAAGATTTTTTTTTTCCCTGCATCAAGAAACATAAAGATAACCAAGATAAAGATTTAGGAAAAATGTTCAGGACCGTTTTATACAAACTCTAATTTTACATCCAACTGAAAGAGTAATTTTTGTATAATTATCTCCAATCTATTAAAAAACCATGCATAACACAAGCATGATGGATATAGCAGAGCCACATACAGCAGCCAGGTTTACAATTCTTCAGGTCTCCTTCTCAGTGATGAAGACCAGCAAAGTTACACTAGTCAAGCGCTAAGGTTGTGTGCAAATAGACTTTGATCTTTAGTGATCTCCCCAATAACTCAAAGACATCAAAAGAAACAACTAGGCTTAGTTTTCTGCTGGAATCCAAGGCAGCCAAACTTGTGGCTGAAGAACAGAAAACAGCACGTGGAAGGAAATCTGGGATTTTCAGTCCTCTTAAGAGTTCCACCAGCTAAAAGAGCTAGAAAGGAGAAAGATTTCTGTACATACCACAAACTATTCTGAATAATTTGCCTATTGACTCCTTTTCTTTCCTTTAGAGAAACATAATATCATGGACAGTAAGATTAGGACAACATGTTTTCACCTAGTGTACTAGAAAAAATATCTTTTTACAACCTTTAGACTTTTAAATGCCTTTTAAAATCAAACCCTTCTCCATGAAAACAGTGATGCAACTTAATCTTCATTATAGTAAAATATACTACAATGTAACATGAGTTTTACAGTAACCATATACTTCCTACTAAAAATCCTGAATAAGATTCTAAAACATTAAAATAAGTATTTTCACCTTAGTATGATGCGTCCTGTGTCTGCGATCAATAGTCACATCTCCCCTTTGCACTGGTGAAGACACTTCTGATCTGTAGGTCCGCTGTGGGGAATATCCTTGGAAACCAGCGATTGAACCATGAGAAGGTGAGGTGGGAATTGAATGCATTGTCTGATCAGAAATATTAATCATAGTTTTTGGGCTACTTAAAGTACTGTGTCTAGTTAGAGTTGTTTGCTTGTTGTAAAACTGACGTTGCTGCCATTCATAGAGCTGCCACATTGTGTCATCGCGTATCGACCTCCGTTTTTCTTCGGCCATTGCTGGTCCTGTGGCTCTGTCGTAAGCTGACGGCATTACGCTACAGAGGCTCTCTGGCCGTGCTTTGCTGTTTCTTGGCAGCGTTCTGTAGCCTTCTGGGTACCGGGGTAAAACCTGAGGACGATGGCTTGGCATGTTTCTTGGTAACGTCTGATATGAGATTATGCTGAAACACAAATTTTCTTTTTAAGTGGACAGCGTTAATATTATGGTAATATAAAGTTTTTCAGTATTGGTTAGGTTTATCTAGCTAACTCTTACCTTTTTTTTTTTAATACTACAGGTGTCATTTAAAAAACATGCAAGAAAATCAAGACAACAATTAAAGATTCAACTACACTGATTGAATGCACTGTAGTAGACAAAACTGGATCCTTGCTCTGATTTGCTGCTTGATTATATAATCCACATTTCATCTTTTCAGCAGTTTAACAGTCTAGTAGTGTCAAGTTTAGATCAAATACTGTAACTTGTCTATATGTTGGATACGTCAAAGTTTTGAAAGCTTTGAAGTTCTATACTGTTTCCATATGAGCCCATTGTAAATGTTCTCTTTTTCAAAAGTGAAAAAAAAAAATTCCTGTTGTTTTCCTAGGAAAATCTTGAGCAATTACTATGGATGTAAAAAAAAAAAAAAAATTTTTTTTTTAACAGCAGACCAAGGAAAAATAGCAGTAATTATCTAATGAAATTGTATTTTGCAGTTGTCAAGGACAAGCCATTCCATATCAGCTATTCAAGCCAAAAGAATAGCAAAATATTTCTTTCTCTGATAAAAATCTTGTATTGCTTTTCAACTCAGATATGAATTCAAGGGCTTAGTCTTTAATTTGTTGCCACATTAAAATTCTGGAGTGCTACAGTCATTTAGCAACTCTCAGCATTAGTTGAAATGCAAAATATTCCACAGTGAGGATTGATGCATGCCAAAGTATGACAAAGCATTTCTTGGGTTTTTTTTTGGGTGGTTTCTTTGGTTGGTTGGTTGGTGTTTTGTTTTTTTCCCCCAGAGGACAAAATCTAGGTCATAAACATCGATTCATTCAACCCTTATCTAAAATTCAGATGAGCACCTCTTAAAGCATTTTGCTAATGATCACATCTATGATAGATGCTTGCTCAGAAACAACAAAACTGATCTTCAATTGGACACGATTCAGCCATCAGAGGGCAGCAGCTTCTAGCTACACCCCAGCCTAATTCAGACTAAAATCCCTGCCACCATGAGGTACCAGAATCTAAAGATGGCTGTGAATTACTTCAGTGCCACAAAAACAATAAAAGAAATGATGCAGAGCAAATGGCAAGGTAAACGAGCATTATGCATGTTAGATCCTTGTGGGACAACTATCAAGGCAATTGATGATGGTAAAACCCACTTTTCACCAAAAATAGTTAAGCTGAGTATTTATGATCACCTGTAACATTCTGGAGATGAAAACTGGTATAAAGAGATTTACATACAAAATCTGCTACAGTTTCCGAAGCTTTCCAAGAACTACAGACATATTATCCCCATTTTATAGATTGGGCAGCTTTCCATTCTTAAAAGAAGAAAAAATTATTAAAAAGGGAAATGGATATAAAATCCTACTCTTTTGCTGCAAACCCTGCTTAAATACCTCTAAATTTCTTCATGTAACATATCATTAATGATAAGGGATTTTCTCCATCTCCATATTTAAAAAACAACAAGTAACTTTGGGGTTCAATTTCTAACTTTCAAAATATTATTTTAGCTATTCACCAATGGGTATGGTAAAGCCTGATATTTTCAAGAAGATACCTGGTAGCTAGATAGACCTCACTCACTGAAGCTACTCTCTCATTTTATTAATTAAATAGGCAGTGTAATCCTGCTGGCTCCTTTAAATATCGTGGACAACTTGAAGAAAAGCTGTCTGAAGTTCTTACTATGTAAAGATAGTTATTTAAAGTCTGCATGCAATTACTTATATTCTAGAACATTCAGGAAGATAACATATCCATCTTCTACTGGTAAACCATGAAAACTGTAAAATACCAATTGCCTTAACATTAAGCCTTGATTTTATCAAATGATGTAAAACAAAACAGAATTACCAGTGTCCTGTTGATACTAGCAGAAATGTCATTCTAGTCAAATCCAAAAAAACAACTCTAGACAGTACTGCAGCTTACAGCTCCCTTGCACACAAGAGGAGGCTGCTGCAGCCAGTCAAGCAGTCACGCACACTGTGAGGTTGCAAAATATTTCTGCAACTGTCATCATAAGTATCTCCCTACAAATGTTTCCATATGAAAAAAAGGCTTCCTCATGAGTTTACAGACTCCTTATAGACACGTTTAGAGCTTGTCTCTAGGATTACTGTTGGGTAGCAATACCAGTTCTGGTGTCCAAGTTGGACTATTTGGGAAAGCAACTTTGCTGCTAAACCTTTAGGGGCTCAGTTCTGCAATGTTATGAATACCCTCAGATCGAAATCTCAAAACAGTCCTTCATCCTAAAGAATGCAAATTCCAGCTGACCCAGAATATAGAACTTCCACGTCCAAATCAAGCAAAGGGTGGCAGAGTGAAGATGGAAACCTGATGCTGTACAGCAGACATTCATTATTTAGGGTGAGGCTTATATGGGCAAGGTGGGGAGGCAGAGGCTCACCTCCTGGGTTAGCAGCAACAAAACCCCTCACTTAGTACCATGCAACCCTTCTGTATTTTTTCACATTTGAGAAAGACTACTCAAGTGAACCACTTTTGGTGAAAACATTTACTGTAACTGACTTGTGCAAAATTAATTCAATAAAATGATACTGAAGTAGAATTTTTTTTATTATTATTTAAAAAACATTTATTTTTGGTTTAAAAAAAGGTTTGGTTTCCTCAAGGCACCAGTTGCCTTTATTTTTGTGGTTCTTGCAAAACTAGATGTCTAGATCCATGGAAATGGCAGATAACAACTTCAAGAATTAAAAACTACATTGCCATCATTCTCATTAATTTCTCAGGCAATCAAACTAAATCAAAAGGGTCAACCTGTTCCTAATCCAAAGATTAGTAGTCTTACAGTGAACCTTTTCATTCCATACTGTGGACGGCTAACAGCTATTTTATATATATTTATTTAATTTAATCTGTTTGTTAACATATTAGTATTCTTACAGTCCTAATATTTTTTTCAGTCTGACACGCCAGAGATACTCAGTTTGGTCCTCCATGATTTGTCTAACACATTAGAGAGAGAGATGCAACCAGGAAAGCATCTTTGTTAAAAGTCAGCAACTTTTTCCCATTAAGTGAAGACTACTTTTCTCAAAAATTCAAGTTATGAGTTGAACAGGTCTCACTACAAAGAGCCTTACTAGCCTCTCACCCCAGCCTTAAGCTTTAGTATAAACTGGAGCTTCTTTCTACTCTCATTCACCAACTTCAATTCTACTTAAATTTCTGTCTCCAGCTAGAAAATGGCAATCTGAACAAAAATAAAATTTAAAATTTAAATGAAACCCCATTCTAAAGACATCACTATACATTAGAAATTTGGATCATTATTCAAAGACCACTTCCACACAAAGCAAAAAAGATAGCTCAAGGCCAATTCTTTTTCACTTTTCTACTTTTATGTAGCACTGCATTTGAAAGCATACCCTTTGTGCTATCAATGCCACCCTTATTTAAGCAACAAGTGTTCTCCATAGTAAAGAATAAAATATTGTTAATTAGTAACATACTGTTAACAGTACTTCCCTCTATTTGATTCCCACAATGAAATCAGTTTTAGGGTTTTTATACTTGTTCACAACTGAAAAATGGCAGAGCTATTCAAATTTCTACTGTTTGGTTGCAAGTTTTACAGTCCAATTTGAAAAAAATATAATTGCATCAAAAAGCCTTCTCAGTTCTCATTACACAGGCATGCATAATAAAATAAATGTCAGAGTATGCAAGTCACTGACTGTACTGTAAGTTCAAACTTGATCAAACTACTAACGTGTATTTCATGAAACAACACACTGATAATTCCCAATTATATTTAATGAAGGACTAAAGGCAATGAGGAAACGTTCAACCAATTTTGGCAAGTTTAAGTCAAATTAATGTAAATTTTTCCAGTTTTTGCAAAAACTGAAAAGCCCCCATATTTTGAAATTTGCGGAAAACACATTTTCTGAACTTGGTTCTATCTTAAGCTCTGTTCTGCCATCTATCTATACACAAACTCCCTAATTTCTAACTCTTCAAAATATCTCCTGTGATAGCATCTCCATACTTCCTATCTAATGTAATATTAAAGTTCACATTTTACTGCTAGAGCTGCTTGTCTGTAAGCCAGCCTGGAAGCAATATCCCTACACTTCTGTCAGACAGAGAAATTGCTATCGGCACAATACTCAATATTGTCAGTCATTCACACATAATTTTAAAGCTTCATGAATAAGCACTGGAACTCAATATTAGAACCAGGAGATGTTTAATTTCATGAGAAGAAAAGGTTTAAGCATCAAGTTAGTTACATTTCTATGACTTACTCTTAGGAAAAGCTTCTCTCTCTTCAATTAAAGCTTGTTTAAAGTTTAAAAGCTCCCTGGAATATTTTTGAAGTATTTTAAATAAAACATTATTACAAGAATTTGTGAACAAAAATGCAGAAGACAGGGCAGTTTCAAGAACAGATTTTAAAAGGAAAAAGAATTGTTTTGATTGGTGACACCTTCTTTCTGCTAGGATAGAGAAATTTCTAACACCCAAAAAGGGTTTCTGGCCATTTTTATTAAGTTATCAATATAGTTTAATTTATTAATAATCACTCAAATGTTAATAAAAGAAAATTTAATAAATCTGTTCTGAGTAGTCACTTAGACACTTCTTATAGAGAACAATTAATTATATATTTATGTAATATAGACCAAAAAGTAAAGAATCTAACCAGGATACAAGCCTAAGTATTATTTGCTAGGAAGCCTAGCCACAAAAAAAAAACCCCAAACTTAGTACTTACCCTCTTGCTTCCTCTTCTTGTCCTTTTCCTCTTTGTATTTTAATCCACTGTTCCAGTTGCAGCATTGAATTAGTTCTCTGCATAACTCGTTCAGACTCCATATATGAGTGAACTGCATTGTGATGACCTCCATCTCCAGCATCTGCCAGGACAGCACTAACAGCTTTATTCTCAGACCCGTTTAAATGAACTGGTCTGAAGTGTCCAGCCTGAATTGTGCTTATGGGTAAAGTCCTGTATTCGGATCCCAAAGGATTTAGCTTTACACTGTTAATTTTCGTTAATGGTTTATCTTGTCCAACTTTCTGAAATCCGTATTTTTCAGCTTCCAAAGCTTTCTTCTCCTCACTTTTGTTCACTTCTTTGTTTTTCTGGTTATTTTGTGCCTCTGGCTTAATCAGCACCCGATGGTTTGAAATATTATTTGCCTCTCGAGGTGGTGTATTTTCAGTGGTTAACTTCTCTACTCTGGAAAGGAATATATGACAAGCTGTAATATCAACAAAACATTCATTCAAAAATAGTAATAAAAAATGAAAAGTGAATATATTGGTGTTTATCAGGGTAATTTCAGTGAATCCCTGTCCAGATATTGTAGCTTGTCTTTGAGAGAAAAATCCAGGACATATTTTCACAATAATCAAGGACAGGTTGGTTTTTTGGTTGTTGTTGGTTTGTTTTTTTTTGCTTTGTTTTTGTTTAGTTTTGGGGGTGGTGGTAGTGTTTTGTTTGGTTTCATTTTTGTTTTTTTGTTTGGCTGGATTTGGGGTTTTTTGGTTGGAGAAGTTAAGTGTTTTTTCTTCCACACTTCTCTATTTCTTTGCTATTTTAAAAGGATTTACAACATGGGGTAAGTTTTTTAAGCCAACTGTCAACTAATCCCCTAGAAAAACTGTGCACAAGAGGAAATAAAGCCAGAGTCTGAAAAAGCGGCTGTTCAGATCCTAGAGGGCTGGACATTCAAACAGTAAAAACATTCAGTGGCTCTCCAAGAGCTTCAGCTTCCAGATGCCAACAGCCTGAAATTCAGATGATTTTTAAAGCCATCTTTAAAAATGGCAGCAGATTACATTGCTGACCAGTATGTGATTCACAACACTGCTGAATTTAACATATAATGAGCTCCTTTAAAGAAAGCAAACAACTTTTCATGGTCACTGTCATCAATTAGGTTTCTCTGGTATGTTATCACTTTGGCTGGCATACATTTTGTGGAAAATAACTGCGGCTTCCCTAATTTTAAGGGAGAAAATAGCTGCTGACTTGGGGAACTGTACCACAAAAATAATGATATTTTTAGAACAGTTACTGCTTTACAGTACTTATACAAGTACTCAGTGTATGCAGTTCTATTAGCTATCCTCTTTTTAAAATTTCAAAATGTCAAGAAGCTGTATCTTTTTCCATACTGGGACATGAACTGAACGTTCAGCTCAGATAGCGACATTCTTTTTCAGTTTACCAGAAAAACAAACAAAACTCTAAAATGTTTTGATCAACATTTTTTGGTACAGGAGGAAAGAAGAGGAGTAGATATAATTCTGTAAGATTATATCTCTGTATAAAACCAAACCAAGAATAAAACTGTATTTTAAGATGATGTCAAACTAACCTTTCACACTGTTTTGAATCTTTTTTGCAACTGTGTCCAGATCAAGTGCCTAATCTGTTTGTAAAAAGGCCATCCCATACACAACTGACCAAGAGCACAAGTATGATCGCTCCTCTGAAAAATATTTTAATTCTACGTAGACTAACTACATACATAGCTGTAAGAATTTTTGCTTACCCCATCTTGGACAAGAGGCTTAAATGCCCGACAAGTCTATACTTCCCAACAGATTATTTAAGCCATGAATTCGCAACAGGTCGACAATTATTTCGGACAGAATCCTAGCAAATACATAAAGGACTGAAAACTGTAAGATCCTTACAAAATACTACCCACTGCTAATAATACTGGACACTTAATTTTAAATGCACCTTCCATTACTACCCTACTCTTCCTGTGAATTCTCCACAACATGAAAGGAATCAAGAGACTCCTGCCTTGACAAGTACACCATTTCAAAAATATCAGTCATGAAACAAGAAGACATCAATATCCTCTGCATACTGTACGTGAGCTAGAATGAAATGCTCAGGCACCCTGCATGTTAACAAAGGGTGTGGTTTTTTTTTTCCCCCATGCCTGTTCCTGACATAGTTGTGATGATCCCAGTCTCTGCTTGATAATTCATAATGTTATAAAAGTCCTCCAAAATTCACTCTATTAATATAAGTAGCTCAAAATAGTCCTTTTCTTTCAGTCATTATTCCTGAGCTGCTGATGTGAAAGCAAACACACACATCAAATGTACTGCCAATGAAAACACTCATACCAATAATCTAACATGACCATCTCTTTGGCTATATGCGTCAGCATTATTTTTAAATGCAGTGTTTTTTTTCTCATACATCACTATTAAATGCAGATACATTACATAAATTAGATACATCTGATGTTTTCTGCTATCAGAAAGCAGAGGGTAATATTTCTACCAATCATAGCTTTTAGAGAAAAAAAATCTCGACATAGAACCAGGTTTTATGTAGACTTTTGTGAGGGAGGACACGTGTAGTAGAACTGTTATACCTATGTCATCTTTTCTATAATTTCCAAGTTATCAGCAGAGAAATGATATGCTAATCTACTATTGCAATTTAAAAGCAAGGTGTTTTCTTTTTATTTTTTTCCCCTAAGACTGTAAACTGTTCCCAAGACCAAACATTTCTGCCTAGGTTCCTTTCCAAGATTATGGAAAAAAACCTGGATCACCTCCTCCTTCGCACCTCAAAACTGTACTACCCAGTGTTCTACCACAAACTAAAGGAATTCCCCAAACAGGAAAGTGAATGAGAAACACCATTTCCCACAATCATCAAGTCAAAAAAAGGTATTAGAATTTCAGTTGTCAGCAAGCGCTCAAGAGTTTACAAATAAATTTAAGGAATACCTTGCAAATAATCTTAAACATAGGTGTTAATATACGCAACATGCCTTAATAGTACCACCTACCCCCTTATACAGCACTTTATATCAATCTTTCTCAAGGTGCTTTACAGCAGAGCAGCAGTTGCCATTTTACAGATGGAAAATCTGTTGTGCAGAGGGAGAGTGGCATCTCTAAGGACATTCATGAGATATGTGGCAAAGTCAAGACTTTGTTTGTGAGTGTTCAACTCACACTATCATACTACTTTCCACTGTTTGTCTTCATTAAAAAACAACAAACCACAAAAATTACAGAATTGTTTTTCCATGCAATCTCTATGCTTTATCACGTCTTACTATGGCTATACACAGCAAAGCCAAACATTTATGTTTGACATTTGCGATGGTGTCGAGGCTGAATGACTGACATTCAAGTAGACTTCTGGGCTCTCCTTTAACTTTATGCATCAAATCAACTTAGTGTGAGCAAGAGATCTCTTTCCACAGCAAAGGATCCAAATGGGAAAGAATTATCAGAAACTAATAGGTAAATGTAAGAAACATAAATCTGTATTTATATTTGGCTCCATAGAATCATAGAATCGTTATGGTTGGAAGAGACCTCAAATATTTATATCTAGCGCTCAAAGACATATTCGACAATACCTGCAGGGTATTTTGAGGATGGGAGAGGGAGAAGATGAAGAGAATGAGCATTGAACACATGTCTTTCAGCATATACTGAATGCAGTTTAGAGATTTCTACAACCAAATAGGAATAATATGTATGGAACAGTAATACAGGAAAAGTACTATTTTCTGTTGTTTTATATAAATAATTCTGGAAGGGTTGGGTGGGGGGCATGTAATTAAGTATCGGATGGACATGAGGACTGTGATTTAACAAAGCCAGGCAGAGGCATTTGAAAAGAAAAAGCCATCTTTTCCAAACACAGTGACGTCAGTAACCTCCCATTGTGGATGTCGCTATGCTAACAAGCGCTTTTTCGGCAGCTTAGCTTATGCTGTTCAGGGAAAGTAACTACACTAGGAGGAGAAAAAAAATAATTAAAAAAATCAATCTTTTCTTAGTACATACTGCATCACTCAGAAGAAACAAAGGCTCAAGTGCACACAGCTGACAGTGAAAGGATAGAAAAATGATGCTCATACGTGGGAGTAGAGAAATCAGCATTTAGGGTAAAAATGATAAATCAGTATGTTGGTGGAGATTAGCATCTATAAACACAAGCAAGCAATCAGTGCTCAGATACAACTTCACTGTGGTCTGCAATGATACAACATGGAATAAGTAAGATGTTTTGCGAATCCAGCGAGGTTGTTTGAGATCATATTTTGAGTCATAAGCTTAAATAGTTCCTCACTGACTAAAGTATTTGTGTTCAATTGTTTTGATAGGTCTCTCAGTACATTATTAAACCTGAATTTACTACCTAGGTAAAATTAAAACAAAAATGTTTATAAAGGAGTAATTACAGTTAAGTCAATAGGACCAAATAATATTTGTCCTTCCCTGCAGTTATGCATCAGAAGGGAGTTTTTCTGCTGTGACCACAGATCAGTTCTAAAATAGATGGTTACATTTTTGTCACCTCAGTATCTCATTTCAGTGTTATTGGCTACCTATATGTGGGAAGTAAGAAATATTTTATGGAAAACCAGGCAAAACCCCCACCACCGTAATGATTTAAATATTCCTTTTATCTTTTTTCTCTCCAAGGAACTCACATCCTCAGAAAAATACAGATACAGATTGTAGCTGTGAAATTACTTAAAGCTGAAACATTCAATTTAACAGACTGTTGGGTTTGGACTTCCAGAATATCATAAGCGGTGAAGTACCTTTGACTTCGAGATTTAAAGAACTATACTGTAAAAAACTCTGACTTATTACTGGGTAATATATATTAACAAGCACTTAGGAGTGGCTCAAGATCAGCTTGCATAAATATTTAAGAAAGAAAGTTCTTAACTCTAGCTATTGTATTGTATCTAGTCTGTTAGAAAACTGTATTCAGTACAATGTTAGAACCTCTAGAAAAAACAGAATTGAGAAACAAAGGCAATGGCTGAATTCGACTGAACCAAAATCATTCATGATTAGAGCTATGTGCATGCCAAACTTTAGGTTACTTAAGAGATGAGGTAATACAATACTTAATACTTAACAGATTTTTACAGGGAAGAAACAGTATTTCTTCTGAGTAAGATCATATCCTGCTACATGGTCCATTTTAAGAACTGGTTTGATAGCCAAAAGATGGATTCTTTAGAAAACAGATGTCTGAAGGATTTTCTTCCTTATTATAGCCAACAGACATGAAAGTCTCTGAGATTTCACTGGTCTTGAAATGTATTTTCTCTCAAGTAATTATTTCAAGACTACTAACAAACTTTTCAAAGAGGTTACATCTACTTCTGTTTCATTCCATGGTTTCTGGCCTAAATTAAAACAAGAAGATGGTGTTACATGAGTTGCTCTTCTGACACTTGTTTCGGCTGCTGGCAAGCCCCTTCTGCCTGTGATATCCAGGCAGAAAAACACTGATTTTGCTGCTGAGTGCTTTTCTGCTTGTTTACTGTGCTACACTGATTCACCAAGGAGTAAGATAAGCACCCAAAGCAATGCAAGGCAGATTGCAGGTGCATGTATAGCTGGATGAAAAGTCTTAGATAAGCTCAGCTGCATTGGGAATCCCCACCGTTTGCTTATACACTGCCAAACACCGGGAATAGCAGACATCAGTGCTGGAACAGGCACTGCGGCTGAAAGAAGGGGGTAGGAATGCATGGCCAAGCGTTTTGTGAGGCTGGCGTGGCAGTGGACTGCACAGTCGTCTTGTTAGAGCAGCTGTGGCACTGCAGCCGAGAAGGATGACTAGCCTGCAAAGCTGCGCTGGGCGCCAGGGTGAGCTCGCTACGTGACCTCATAGCTCTGAGGCAGCAAACGTGACTGTACAGCTGTACTAATGAACTGCACAAAAGAGGGGATATTTACATTAACATTTTAGATTGCTTCTTATGTTAAAAGAAGTGTCACAAGTAACAGTGTAATATCTGTCTATATAATTTACTAAATATCTTCTACAGAGCATTGACTATTACAGGAGAGACTATGAAGACGTCAGCTATTAAGGAAGCTCTGTCAGATGGAGATACACTTTTTTCCACATTAATTTTTTTCTGCTACAAAGATGCCATCTTCAAACACTCAATCTTCACGGTACTGCAAATACCAAAAGAAGATCATTTCACCAGTTCAAAAAAGATTCAGAATGACCCACTTCAGTATTATTCCCCCTATGAAGTGCTTATACAATCAGTACATGATTTTTGTTTAAAGTTAAGCTGGTCTGATTCGATTTAATAATTTCTCCATCTGTAAGCTACCACAGCTATCTGCAATACACTTACAATGAGAACCAAAACTGATTTTTCAGATTAAGCTTATTATTCACTAAGCTAAATGAGATATTTTATTTCATCAAGGTAACTTCATTCTTTTAAGAGCAATCTCTTAAAAGCTCTGAATGGAGAAAGTAAAAGATGAAAATGCTATTAAATATCTAGTTGCTTATCCTCAATCTCACTCTGCTCATCCTTTTCCGTAACATCTACTATTCCCAAACATCAGGGTTACAGGAGACAAAGAATATAACATCTTCATATACAGTATGAAAACATACATAATCAGATCAAATTTCATTGTGGTAATTGGACCTACCACTCCTCCTTTCTATAAGCTGAAATCTTTCATTTTCAGTAATTTTGGGGAAAACACACATGACACCCGAGAGATTGAAAAAATAATGCATGTGCTTTGAAGTACAGAGAACAACATTTTTTTTTCTCTTAAGCTATTTCACTATGCTGTCCAATAGAGAGAATGAAATATTTCATATACTACCTATATATTTAAAGTATCTTAGGGACAAGAGCTAAGATTTCAACCTTTTCTTTAAGATTAGTCACTAAAAAGTTGCACAGGTACAAATTTAAAAGTGTTCCTAGTTTACTGTTATCCTTCCAAATGTCCTGTAGATTGGTGTAAGTAAAAATTTCAATATGTTTGACTGAGAAGCTCAGAAAACATTAAAACACGTAACATTAAAGTGTCTAATCATTCTGCATTACATTTTATGCTTCTACCAGCACCATATTGGAACATGGGATATAGAAATGTCAGGAACAAGTTAACAGGAATGACTTGCACTAGCAGTGTAAAATTCAGAAAGATTGCTTGTATTTTGACAACAACTTGAATGCGCTTACTCTTTAGCAAAAATTGTACCTTTTCCTTCTTTGGTACCTGTGTCTATGCAGTTTTTTACTGTTTTTTTAAATCTTAAAATTTCTCTGCATTGCTGCCGTTCATTTAGCTCCAGTGTAGCAGGAACTAACAGAGTGCAGAATAGATCAACTGACAGCACCCATCAGCAATAACTTCTGTGCCATCAATAATGAGGAGCTTTTAAATTTTCAGTAGATGAGGTTTCCATTATAGATGCCATGGAGCTGACCCAAGAGACCACATTCAGAGAGAAAACAATTCTTACTGCTTGCTTTTCATTGTCAGCACATGGATACATAAAGGATAAGGCTCCAGATCGGGTGATGACAGCTTAATGATGAACAAGAATGGCTCCCCACAGGTTGCCCATAGGTACAATTGTTTAATTTAGCCAGAAACTACAGTTGCGAATTTGAGACCTATGACAGTTTTAAGCCAAAGACTACCACGAGTTGAGCTGCTATTGCTATTCCATCAGGAGGGCAAGGGAAGTCAAACAGGCCTGCACATAGTATTTGTCATTGCACTTCTTTTGATGTCACTGGCTAAAGGAATCAGTCTGTTTTTTTTTTCTTCTACTCCCTTACACTCAAGGCATCCATATTCAGAATAGAACTTAGATCATTTTTACTACTTTAAAATTTTATCTAACATTGTTAAATTAGTAAGGGGTCTTCAATATAAGGAGAAATTACTTCAGCTAATTTACATTCTATTTTAAGGCATACCTTTTTATTTAAATAAATCAAACTAAATATGAGAAAGAAATACACTGTGACACTGTTTGGTCAATCCACACTACCTTTTCACAGGCTCTGTCTGCACAAGTGCTGCATCTGTCATGGCTTTCATCCACAACTCCATTTCCTTCCCTGTATCTGTGCAGAAATAATAGGTCCTCATGTTTGGATGAGCTGCCTGATTGGAAATGACATGGTCATTGCAATAAAAATATAAGATTCTGTAAAAGAGAAGAGGCAAATAATGTTACTGTACACTCATTCCAATATTTTCTAGAATAAGATTTCTGCCAATAATATCAGAAAAAATATTGGAATACTTCAACGTTTCTCTGTCACTACATCCATATTTTCGAAATAATTGCCTACAATTTTCAATCATAGCTGCTTCTTCATTAATACACTCAATAAAAAGTCCTTAAATTTCTTCAATCTGTTAAAAACTATCTTGACTATCCATTAATGTAAATTAATATAATTACTATAAATAAGATTTTGGCATAGATTTTTGCAGTCTGAATGATACAGTAAGTTTTAATTTGTACTTACCATAGTAAATAAATGATGTGTTGCTTAGGAGGCCAAAAGAAGAGCCAAAAGGAGCTCATAAAACAACAAAAAAAACAAGAAGTCAAGAGAAAATATTTAGCAGAGTGATTATATCATGATTAAAAAGAAGAGCTGTGAAACACTTCTAACAATGATTCATGTAATATTGTGATTTGAGTGATAATTAAACCTTACTTTTATTTATATGTAAAGATACTTTGTATCTAAATAACTAAAGAACTTTCATTAGTGGGATAAGTCCAGATGGAGGTGCAGTCTACAATTCTAAAACATCACACAGTATTTAAGATCCATGAACTGAAAAGACTAATAATAAGTAATATTCATCCATTTTCTCATTCTAGTAATTATGTCTATATTTACATGAGGCTAAATACTTGAATCTTCTGCTACTCTCTTATGCAAAAATCAGTCTCAGAAGCTGTTTGTCAATCCTGTTTTGCATAATAACTCAGTAAAATGAGTTCTGATCACTAGGCTATTGTGCTTTCAGACATAAAATTAAACTGAAAAAAAAATTGATTCCCTTACCTTAAAGGCATATTTGCGGTTAATATGGTCCTCAGCAGAAAGCACAGATATCTGGAAACTAGGTAGAAGTATGCTACCTAGTATTCCTTCTTCTTTCTCATCTGCGAATGTACAGTCTTTGATTAGAGAAACAAAGTGTTTTGACATATAATACTTGTAGTCAGAGATTTCAGTGAAACTCTGCGTTTAACAACACAAGACCACTAACAAGAAGTTTACCTCAGAAGAAAATGCATTAGAGAATCAGAAAGCCAGCCTGATATGTTACGTAGGTGTCTGTATACAGTCTCAGAAGTGTGCAGTCCACAAGAGCAATTGCACAGCCCCTTTCTGCCAACACGTGCCATGGAGCGAGTATCACCCCAGTGTGCACCCCCAAAAACCTGCTAAGCACCATGAAATTTAGGCCATCTGAAAAAGGCCACCTTCGACTTTTTCCCAAGATGGACAAGCAGAATAAACCCTCCTGAGTGCTAGTTCTGTAAAAGTTTAAGCAATTGAGCTACCTTATACAATCTGCCTTACGAAAAACACCACAAATAGCTATGCCTAGACTTCCTCTGGGGATCACTGCTTATCTGCATATGACTTCAAAACCAAAAGGCAAACGGAAGTCAAGCCTCTAATTCAGTGACAAGAACAATACCTGCTATCTATTGCCTGTTCGGTACAAATTGCAAATACCTATGAGAGCAGAAGTATTTTAAAATACTGCTTATGATTGTTGGCCTTTGAGAAAATTTGCACATTCTTCTTCTGATATCAGGCATATTAAGCTACCAGTTTTTATAATGCCCATGAAGAGTTTATACTCAATTACATTCTATTTGTAAGAATGCATATGTTTCAGATAATTTGTAAAAAACAAACTCTTCCTCAAAACAAACACCCTTTTTCCAGAACCTTGTTTTACATAAAATTTTAGAACAATACATTATAATAATAAATTGACATTTTAATAGGAAGTCACAACCAGCTCTTAAACACAAAATACTTTAATAAAGGAATAATTGGATGCAATTCACAAAGTCAATCTTAATTGTATTTCAGAATCAGAACTTCCAACTTACAAACAGTATCTTAGGAGACTGTCCCCCATAATACTTCTCTTAGCTGAAGATACCGCTCACAACAAATGACTATGTATTTATGAAAATAAGATGAAAACATAGATATTCCAAAGTTTCAAGCATGGAAAATTAATACTGTTACAATTAAAATACATATAAACTGCACACAAGGACTACCTCATACATGGATTAAAAAAATTCTTTTCCTGGTTCTTGTTTACTCACCATGTTCTGAAAAGCCACAACTTTCATTTAAGTTATTCATATGGGGAAAGCTCTGCCCAGCCATTTTAGTATTACATGATGTTAGACGTAAAAATCATGCTTTCTGGGATAGTTATTTATTTGGAGAACCAAGCATAAAATTATTCTGATTAAAAGGTAGAAAAGAAATTAAGGGAGTGGATTTACTTTCAGGTACTCAACACTGTACTCATAAGTATGCCTGAAACCATCCTACCTTCCCCTCTCAAATATTTACTCCTTGCTAGCCACACACACGCCAAAAAATCTGCCCTTTTTTCCCTGTCCCAGAATGCCTGGGAAACGTTGGGGGTTACTTTATTTGGACTGTTGTTTTGGGAAAAAAATCCCTTCTTCTGCTAGGTTATACTTTGACTTATTACTGAGTAAGTCACACTCACTAGTGCCATTTGAAAGCATTAAGCGTTTTTGTTCCCCTGAACAGCTGCATGTCTGGAAGGACTTTGGTCTTTGTTAAAGACACACTACTACATTCCATTTCCAGATTTTAAAAATCTGTTTCCAATCAGACTAGTTTTTTCTACACATTACACTGCCCCATACCATCTTTACTTGTATGGAGTGTATGAATAATACAAGAGAAAAACAGTACATCTTCTGTGCAGCAATAAGATCTTTTATTTGTTGCAACAATAACCTTCCAATATGAAAGCAGGCAGTCTTTTCTCTCTCCATGAAACAGAAAAAGAGCATTCTCTAAGCTCTGAAAATATACAATAAAATCATTTTTCTTTCCATCTACAAATCAGATTTAAGTTCCTAACATTGTAACACAATTGTAAAAGCTCGGTAAGACTTACTAACAAAACCAAAAAAGAAAACAAAACCAACCCCAACAACCACAATCGCGCAACCAGAAACACTGTTTGCAATCTGTTTTACTTCAGAGTAAGTGCATGGCTCCCCCTTTTCCATTTTTTTCAATATCTGAGATGGAATTAACAAAAACATAAAAGCACAGAGTTTAGAGTGCAAGGTTTTTTTGTGTTTTAGTAACCATTTCTAACACCTTTAAGACTGTAACTACACATGTTGAATGACAGTTTATCAGTTTTAACTGCTTTCTAGTAAGTGAACGATAGCTAAAAGCTAAGTTTATTATGTAAACAATGTAGAATATTCTGCTCGTATCTCAGCTTATTTGGCACACTAACATGTAGAAATGAAAAAGTAAGATTATAGAGCTTTTTGGATTTATTTGTTGCTAGTTTTTCTTATCACTTTTTTGTTTTATTTTGAGATACTTCAGTCCTTTAAGACAATTTAATCTGTTCTTAAGGCAGCTACAAAGCAGCACTTTCTAAAGAACCTTTGCAAGACAGAGCCTGAAAACTTGTTTAAAATAAGAAAACCCTATAAGAATAGGGTATATACCCAGAGTATATAATGACCACTCAACTAAATGCAGTATAACTGTATCACAATCAATGCCTCTGTGACTGAAATTATAGCCTAATTTTGTCTCAGCAGTGGTTTATCCAATTATATGTACTTCTTGGGGTATAGAAACAAAGCCTAATGATTATATTTCAATAATTCAGAATTTGTTAACTAAACTAGTTACAAACTGGTTTTATGTTTCATAACCTGATTTGTCTTGATTAGATAGATTAGAACCGTGCTGCACTTTAACAGATAGCATTTAAAATTCATCAAGTCACTGCTTTCATCATCACCAGCATCAACATCACTCCTACCAACTCTAGTGTCTCATCCTAAACTGAAACCCTTTCTTACCCTTCCTCTGCAGTTAGGGCTGCAGATGGTTTTAACTGTTTATTTTCCTCTATTTTGCCATGCTTTACATTCTCCGCTCTTAGCCTCCTTTAAACTATTATGGTTGTACACCTTATTTCAGGATTGAACACGCTTCCATACGCACAAATCCCATTTGTTTATCCCCTCAGGACCACAAAGTTAATAATCTGTAATGGTGAAAGAATCAGTTTTCTAACATACACATCTCCAGACTAGAATTACAAGCAGATAATTTTTCCTGTGTAAAATAAGTCTGATGTAGCTACATAATGGTACTAACAGATTTCTTTGTTCCAAATACAGCAGAGACTTCTACTTATATGGAACTGGACAACATTTCACTTTAGAAGTATTTATGAACACTGATTAGATTCCCAAAAGGCATATACATCCTTTTTATCATTCCAAAGGCAGAGTTTCAGCTCCTCTGAACTATCCCCTTTCCTATCCCCATTTCAGTTACTTAATTTGCATGAAAAATCAGACTTAACCTGGCATATTTAGTTCCCAGCAACAGAAGCAGTGAGGAAACAACCCAGAATTTAATAAAAAGAGGTGGCTGTGAATGGGTTTTCCCTTTGAGCATACTTGATAGGCAGGAAGCAATTATGTGAAATTGGTAATTAAGAAAGAAAAAAACAAAACAAAACAAAAACATAAAAGTAGCAGGCCTGGATATTGACAGCTATACAACTATTTTAATCCATTAAGTTAAGTAGCAGCTTTTTATTTCTTACATTTGAGTGGTGTGTCAAAATTTATCTGCTTCCAGTAAAATTAGCAAACGAAACTCTCCTGAGTGGAACTTACCTCTATAATAGAAGAGACACAGATCTGAGAGCACAAACCACCGTTTCTTCCACAACTTCATTCCAGTACTGTCCTGTATTAATCAAAGTGACCAAGTAAGAACTTTCAGACTGTTAATAGTAACAGTTCATAAAGTAAACCAGGTACTACATAACTGTGGTGGTGTGCTAGTAGTTCATGCTCTTCACTAAGATATTTTAGGTATCTTTGACTTCACATCACAGACTTGACAACAAAGATCATAACCCAGGAAGCCTGAAGTTAACATGATACAAGAATACATAAGAGCCCATTATTTTAGCATGCTAGAGACTACAACCTACAGTTAACTGAATAAATGCATACTTTTTTAAAAAAAGGAAAAGGGCAATGTCATACTTGGGGTACATCCTCCTCTGTTTTCTGAAGAAACTCTGCGGAACTTCATCTTCTACTACCACTCACCTATCTAGACCAAATTTCTTTACCAAATGAAGTTTATTCCTAAAACATTTCATTTTCTTTCATGGTTATAAACAATTTACACTGCACAACTCAAAATGAAAGACTACCACCACTACTGCAGTGTAAATAAGCCAGAGCACTGCAGCGCACACATCCTAGTAGAATCAGATTTAATATGTTAATCTGTTCCAAGAAGAAAAGTACATGTGAATTATCGATATTCTTGTAGTAAATAGGTTTTGTGACAACCAGTAAGAGGGATGCTATAACGAAAAACAGCGGGGTGGTGTGGGTTTGGTTTTGAGGTTGTTTTGTTTTGGGGTTTTTTTGAGAAAAAAGCATAATTTTTAGCTAGTATAAGCTCTGCTCTTTTTGGAGTGGGGGAAATGAGCTGAAGGAGGGAGAAGAAAAGGTAAAGCAAGCATTAGCTAGGAAATATTATTCAGAAAAGTTAAAAAATCCTTTGCCATTTTCATAAATAGAATAACTAAACACTTTACAGCACCTTCCTTCTGAGGACCTCAAAGTGGTTTAACAAACACTAATGAAGTTTGGAAGCACTGCCCATAGCAGTCGGCTCCTATTTCACAGCTGGGAGGGCAGACACAAGGAGGGGAGACTGCCTTCCTCACCTCACTGACAAGGTCATCAACTCAGCAGCAGATTTGGATGCTGGACCCCTGGCCCAAAGGACACTGGCCATAAAAAAATCAACTGTACAATGTGAAAATACCCAAACTTCTTCAGCATAAAGGATTATCACAAACCATCAGACAGACTTTCTGAAGAGGCTATTATGCAACATCACATTTATCCCATCAGTCAAGAACACCAACAGGTTTCTACACAGCCACGTGTAAAATTCTGCCAGCAATGAGACAAGCTAGGAGTGATCTTTTGGCCTTCTTCAGACAGAGGGAGGCACACAAAATGATTGTGTGGGTCTCATATTTTAAATTCTTTCCTACTTTAAAGTACAACCCTTCTGTATCAATAGATTTATGAACTGTTTCCTCTTGATTGTGATTATGTCATAACATGGTAACAGTATGTTCACAGTAAACATCTCCCAAAAAAAGAGTTGACTCTGGACTTAAAAATTAGTAGAAAGATGACAGAAGAATAGCATTACATGCATTGAGACAGCACACCCCGAGTCAAACAAAACTTGCTGTTCTCTGTGATTACATAAACATGTTGAGAAAGTTATCTTACTATCAAAAAGAAACCTGCACAAGCGTTCACTGTAAATTTCTGAAGATAGTATCTGTTGGTAAAACTCTTGACTAAATTGGCTTTCAATCACTACTACAACATGGAAACATACAGCAATACCTTTTCTTACAGAAGCCAATCAAACATCACAGCATTTAAATAATTTTACACATAAACCCTGTCCAACGGTATGTATTTTGACAGTGAGGTGGACTGAAAACTGGTTGAACTACCAGGCCCAGAGTGGTGATCAGTGGCACCACTGCCGGTCAGTTGCTAGTGGTCTGCCCCAGGGGTTGATACTGTGGCCAAGATTGTTTAATATCTTCATTAATGACCTGCACACTGGGACAGAGTGCACCCTCGGAAAGTTTGCAGATAATACGAACTATGAGGAGCGGCTGATACATCAAGATGGTTGTGCTGTCATTCAGAGGGACCTCAACGAGCTGGGAAACTTGGCAGAGAAGAATCTCATGAAGTTCAACAAAGGGAAATGCTCAGTCCTCCATCTGGAGAGGAATAACCCCATGCACCAGTACACATCAGCATTGATCACCTAAAAAGGAGCTCTGTGGAGAAGAACATGGAGGGGGGGGGGTCCTGGTGGCCAACAAGCTGATTATGAGCCAGCAACGCACCCTCATGGCAAAGGCGGCCAACAGCATCCTGGACTGCATTAGCAGTGTTGCTAACAGATGAAGGGAGGACATTCTTCCTCTCTAATCAGCACTACTGAGGTCTAGCTGGAATGTTGGGTTCAGTGCTGGGCCCCCTGTTACAAGAGAAAGGTGAACATACTGGAGTGAATCCAGCAAAGGGCCACAAAGATAATTAAGGGATTGGAGCATCTTTCACATGAGAGGCTGAGAGATCTGGGACTGTTCAGTCTGGAGAAAGGGCAGCTCTGGAGGTATTTTATCAATGTGTATAAATACCTGATGGAAGAGTGTAAAGAAGATGGAGCCAAACTCTTCCCAGTGGTGCCCAATGTCAGGACAAGAGGCAATGGGCACAAATACAGAAACGTGAAATTCCACCTGAGCAGAGGTAAAGTTTTTTACTATGAGAATGATCAAACACTAGTACAGGTTGCCCAGAGAGGTTGTGGTGCAGTCTCCATCTGTGAGGATATTCAAAACCCAGCTGGATCAAGTCATGGGGGGATCAAGCAGGGGAGGTTGTGCTAGATGATCAAGAGGTCCCTTGTTCAATTTCTTGATCAAACTACTCGACTGATTTCCCGCACAGCAAGAAAGTGCAAGTGGTCCGGTATTGCAGAATAGCAAATGTACAGCAGGCTAGGTACACTGTCACTAAATGCTAGAGATCACATACTTCAGATGATGCTCTTACTCATTTGTACCAAAATGTCATCCAATAAGTAGCTAATTAATTAAAATACCACATGTCAGTTCCTCACAGTTTATAGCTTCACTCGGGTATTGCTATCATTGTATTTTATGCAAATGACTGTCTTTTGTACATAATCACCTTCCCAAAAAACAAAACAAAACACACACAAAAAAAAGAAAGCAAAGAGGGTCAGAATACCTGTTTGTAGAGCCAGCCACGTCTGACAACTGGTGCATTAGGATTTCTCTTTATTGAGTTTGATCTCTTTCCGAAATTATGAACCTTCTTTGAAGATCGTGATGTCTAAATTGAATTGAACAGGTTAAAGTAAACATGACATCAATATCTGTTGAAAAATCATAACACATTTTCTTTTCTTTAAGGTCTTTTTCTTATACACTTTCCTCTGGGGGATTGCAGAATACAAACTGTATTCCCCTTTTAGATAAATAATTATTATGATGGTTCTGCTGGCTTCAGCATTTCTTTCTTTTTCCTCTGCAAAAAATTTAAAGACAAATCCCAAGACAAGCACTTAAAGAATTTTATTTCTTTTTTTTTAACAAGAAAAACAACTAAATATATATCTGACCTTCTTATAAGGTAGGTAGAAAGCCTACCAAGCTGCAGAAAGAGAAGTAAAACTAACCGAACTATTATTAGTTATGAAAAATTACATCACTCGGGCAAGAAAACTCGACTCTTTCCTGCTTCCAACACTGGTGTAATATATGAGAATTTGTTCCGATTTCAACAAGATATAACTCCCCCTTTTCCGAACATATACTAAATTCCTTTTATACTTTCCTCCCTCTCAAGAACCGTTCACTCTGTGATCTCTTGGCTGGTTTGAGTATTCATTATTTTACCTGGTTGCACTAAGGCCTACTTTGAAACTTTTGCCCTGAAACTCCAGTGGTTTTATCTGCTGTTGCTTATACCTTTTACAACCTTACAGCTATGCAATGATCACAGATGATTAAAAAAAGTAGGATAAATAACTCATTTTAGATTTTATCCTTCTTCTACTTGAGTAACCAAAAGAAATTGGAAAAGGCATAAAGAAACGTGCAGCGCTTTGCCAATTCATACTTCATTCTCTTCAGCCTACATTTAGGAAGTTTGTTCTGCAACTAAATTAGCTGAATGTTTACTTGTGTTTTAAATTCTGTAAGAACTGGTGCCTCAGAGACCATGCGATGTGATACAGCAAAGTATCCCACTATGCAAAAGAAGTAAAGTTCAAATAAGTTTTTTAAGCTGTGTTCATAGCTCTGCTCCAAATTCACCATTTGAATTGAGACAATACAATCCTGTGCTTTAGCTCCCCCATCTCTACTACTGAGGCTAATCATAAAGCTATGCAAAGTTCCTAAAGGAGGATGGCTAAACAAATGCTCGGGTTTTGTTGCAAATGGGGTTTCTCTATGGAAATTCTCTCAACATGCATCACAGAACTGAGCTGGGTTTTATACATGCTTCAGGGAGAATTCCACAGTAGGTTAAAAATCATAAACTGAAAACTGCAATTTAAAATGATGTGCAGCTTTTGTCAGCAATGCCATTAACTGAAGAATACAATGTAGCTTAGCCAAAAAAGAATAATATCACAAAAACTATGTGTGTTTGCCTTAAGTCTAAAACACAATGAAACAAGGTCATTTTGTATTTCTTTTTTTGAAATAATCAGGAAGGAACACAAAAAACAATCAGAATGCTTTTAATTTCCCTTGGAGATACAGAAATTTGACTCAGCTCTGTTTGGAAAGCAAGACAGAGCAAGCATTTCAAAACCTAATTAAAAATAAGAGTAAAAATCTTTCACGTTTTCATCTGAAAAATTCTACCAGTGCAAAATGGATAAAGGTTTGTAAGAAGTCAAGAGAATTATGACATCCAGCTGTAAAAAAGGAATGTACAGAGGACTTGTAATAATCCAGAGCACATTATAAATTTAACTGCACCTATCTCAGTTAACCCATATGGCTACTACACTGGCATATCACACAAGAGCCGTCCAAGATTTTGATCAGAAATAATTTATAACACTCATACCTGCTCTATTATTAGGTATTAAAGGTTCAAAACCAATGAAGAGTGTTCCAGACTTTCTATGGTTGTAAAATGGCTAACGTATTAAGGATGCTTCTGAAAACACAACCAACCATATGTACTACTAATGTCAAGTCTACTAACAAATTCAGCTAATTTAGATAGATATCTCTTAGGTAGGTCTGATAATAAACCATACTGACTCCAATTTCACTGAGCTCACAGCAAAGTTTTAATGGGTTACATCTTACTAACTTTGAATACAAATTTCCTGTAATTAAACACAGCATCACAAGTGCTTTCTAATTTTAGTTAATACAGGGAAAAATTTAGATGACTTGTGATTATTTTACCACACACTGCATAAAGGAACAACGGTTCCCAACAAATTCTGAGCCTCGAGACTGAGTATTTTAGGATATTGCAATATTGTAGGTGTATATATAAACTAATTATGGGTTCTCAAACTTTTTAGATCATCTCCTCCTCTTGTTATGTCTGGGATCCCTGGCTATCCCATGTTCTCTCACACATATATCTAATATATCTCAAACTGAGGAAACAGGAAGAAAGGAAAAAAAATAACGAAGGGTTCAACTACTTTTTACCCCATAGTGCTAAAAATATAGGACATATTGCACAGCTCCAGTTTCTGGAGAAGGCAAAGAGAAAAGGAGGATAGTGAATGAAAGGTTCAACTACTAACCACTTGCTGGAAAGGACAGAAGGTAAGAGAGCTAGCAAACTAAGTCACATCTGGTACCATATGACCCATTCCAAGGAATGGTCCCAGCAACTGTGATACCTTCAAAACCAGAACCTACGGGAGGGACCCTGTACAGTTCCAGTACCGAGAAAGGAGCCAGGAAGTCCAGACAGTGACATTCACTTTCCCAAACCTGAAGAAAACAAACACTGGCAGGGTTTTGAACTCTGGGCAACAGACCAGTCAGTAGCTGGCGCTGCACACTTCATCACTCTGCAAGCTGCTCTTCTCTGCTTAGCTGGCAGAGGACACAAAATTTAAGTGAGGCTTCTTCCCCAGTTTCAGAACTAGCACAGAAGTAATGAATTAATTAACACTAAACTTATTGCATCTATATTTGAAAAACATGGGTCGAGAACCTTGCTGATAAGGAAATTTTCTGCATGTGAACTTAAAGAATGGAAATCTAAATCTTTGTTACTTGCAACTTCTGTTTAAAAATATGTTTCCAGTCTTCAAGGCTTACATTATCTCCCAAACCACAAACCAACATGATGCTGCCTTCTGGATTTTGTAGGCAATTTCAGTGCCTTCCAATGTTGTAGTTTTCCATGAGCTGAGTGGGTTTCTGCCTCAGCATTTTAGCTTGGACCAGGAGGTTGCTGTTGAAGCAAATCTCCCAGTCATTTACTCTTACTGTGTTTTGGTTTGCATAGCAGAGCAAACTGGATTTATTTTAGATAAGACTAAAATGGAAGATGCACAAAGAGCACTACTGGACCAGTCTGAATATAAATCATGAAAACACAGTACAGATGCTCAACCCTGAGCACCGATACTGCCCTTCACATTGCTCCTGTTTACTATGCTGCTTGCTAATGTATCTCATGATCATTATCCAAAATTTCTGGCTAACCTGAATCCTGAGAAGACATGTATGGCTATACCTAAACTAGCCATTTAAAGCTGGACTAGCTTAAGCACTAGATGAAATATCCATAAACGAACTGATGAATATTTATAAACTGTGTGATACATCCTAGCTGTAATGGAGTTATGAGGAGCTCTGCAGCAGCTGTCCTGGGCTAACACTCCATTCCACTTACTGTGAGAAAACTGTTAGCCTTATTCTGCTGATAATCAGGACAGCAATGAAGAGCAGAGGAGATGAACTGTGGAGGGTGACTCGCAATATGACTGCCTTTACACATTAAAAAGCTGATTCCCTGAATGCATTTCAGGACATATAATCATATTTGTCTAGGTAGTGATTTTAACAGCGGGGGAGAAAAAAAAAAAAAAACAAACACAAAAACCAAAAACACCAACCAAACAAAAAACCAAAAAATAAGAGAACTACAAAACCAACTTCTGAATTTTAAAAAGAGAGGTGGAAATATATACCTCTGTAGCCATCTCAAGCCTATGCAGAACTTTTTCACAGTCAGAGGTATGTGCTAGTGGCTTCAAGTTTAGAAATACACTTTAATCTGATAGGGAAGAAGCAGCACTTGACAGAGCTGTAGTGTGTTATTTGGCCAGCATCACATATATAGCGGGAAAGGAGGATTAGAATTAAGACTTTTACTGGGGAGAGACTGATTTTTGCCTCAGCTCATATTAGGCTCTACACAGCAGCAGCATTAGGCTCCAGTGAGTCTTTCTGCCACAAAATAGAAACTTCTCCCAGTTCCATATCTATTTGGGATCAATCAACATTAATAAAAGGGAGAACTTATTTCTATATCCCTCAACTGTCTGAAACTTCAGTTGTACCACAAACTTTTCTTCCTTTCCTCATTACCTTCCAATACTAGGTGTGCTCATGAGTTCTCTCTGAAAACAGAAACACCTAGAAATAGGTGTGGCAACCACATGAAGTGTTCTTCTGCTCTGCAATTTACTTTCCTCACCAATATTTTACTCCTCTTTAATTGTGCTGCAATATACAGAGCCTCTACATATTATATTCAAAGGTTGATAAGACAGCTAAGAATTTCAGGTTCTACTGTTGGGAGATATGAGTAAAAACATAGATCATCAGTTGTTGTATATAGGTACAAGCAGTGGGCAATTTCTATACAGTTAACTTTGAAAACAATTAAACTCCTTAGCATTAAACAAACACAAGAAAATGCTGACTAATATTAGCTGTGGTCCTACTTTGCAAGCATTCATCTCCTGAAAACAAAACTTTTAAAATGGTGTTGCAGTAATTCAGACAAATCTGCATTTGTCTGATGTACAGTAATTGTACATACAGTCAGAGTAATCATATTAATATTTTAAGTGCATTTAAATAACTAGAACAGACAGGAGGAATGAAAAGTAGAACAAAAGTCTGTTTTTTCAAAATATCTTAATTGCCTCAGGAAGCTAAAGTGTCATTAATCAATGAAAGTAAAGAAATTACAGTAACTGGGCCATAGTAATCTCATGTTCCTTCTAGAACACTATGAAACAAACATTCTCCAGGGCATTTTAAAATTCTCTCTTGAAAGAGGAGTGTGAATAGTATGTTTGTAAAACATGTGCCTCTAAATTGTAATTCTTTTTCTACATTTAACCTGAAAGCACTTCCTAGCTAGTTCTGTTGTAATTAATTTTCTGTGTAACTATTGCAACTTACATCACAGTTACAACTCTAACTGTAAGTTATCTTGGGTTTTTTGTTTGCCTGGTTGTTTTAGGGCGTAGTTGGGTTTGGGTTTAGGTTTTTTTGTTGTTGTTTGGAGTTTTTCTAGTTAGTTTTGTTTTTTTTTAAACTGTCTTTCCTGCATGGACTTAAACACGATCATATGAAAGTTGAGATGGATGTTGTTACTGTTTATAATTCATCTGTAACTCCTTTTTTCCCCCCCCCAGCAACACTAATAGATTAAGACACTTTTCTCATTAAATAACACTTTTCTAATGTAGATCAAGGATTCTGTCTAACGAGACATTTAAAACAACAACAAAAAAGTTTCCAAAACGCACTTAAAGAAACCTTACAATGTTTCCTACCACATGGAAAATAAATTATTTAAATCCAAGCTTCTGAAATTAAGGAATTTGCTCAGTTAAAATACATTCCAAAATTTATTTTTCTCTTGCAGGCTGGATTAATCTGCTGAAAAGCACTACTCAAGGTTAAAGTTTTCAATGACTAGCAAAAGTATGGGGTTTTTTTCCTTGTTTAAATGTTAACTGCTGGGTAGAAGAGATTATAGGGCTCTTTGTCATCACTGATCAAAGATATTATCTTCTTGTCCTAGCAAACTTAAGGAAATCCTTAATTTTGTAGCAAGTGCACTTTCCTTTCAGGAAAGCTGTCCAGAAAATGGAAAGAAATGCATGCAATAGCCTCATCAGCTTTATCCAATAAACTTGATATAATTGAACCCATCACCTCGATAAACACATGGGCGTTTACCTTCTGAGATGCTGGGTGAATGGAGAAAGTGGGACACAAATTAAGGTGACCTAGGAATCTCCAGGACTTTTCCCAGGAACTCTCCTAGGAAACCAGGACTTCTACTTATGGTTCAGTGATAGCAAATCATGTTGTCTGCCCTTTGATTTTACCACAGGGTCACCTTCCATCTCTCTTGTAACTACTTCTTACAACTGTAATTCTCTCTATTTTACCTGGAGAAATCTAGTCAATTGTTTGTGATTCAGCACTTTCCGTAACAATGCTTGCCCACATGTCTGATCAGTCACTCCAGATTTTTCTGTTCACACAGTTTAGAAAGGTCAGATTCTGTAAACAATTTAAGTACCTGCAAGTCATAAGATCTGAGATACCTGATAAAAATTACAGCTTCAGTGATAATTTGTTTCAGACACTTCAGTTTCCAAATTAAACATGACAGGAGCCAAATGCCCCGGAAAAGATAGATGCTTTGTTTCTCTTTTGCAATAGAATACTAATATATAGCACTGTCTAGTACCTTGTGGAATAACTGTATGATTTTGATTTAATTTGGATGTAAAGACTTACTCTGCCCACAGGGCTCATTGGATGAGTAGCATAATCTGATGTCAGATTATAGTTAGTTGCTTCACATATCATGCTTACTGGTCGTTCCTTCTTTTCTTCAGATGTCATTGCTGCAGCAGTCCTGAAAATAGAATATGGAATAGCACTAGAACATGCTGTCTGTGTAGACTGCTATTAAAAAGCATCCCTAGATGTCGCCTAATACAGCCTGTGTCCTATTTTTCCAATTTGAAAGCAATTCACACTTCATTGTAAAGTTATCCGCACTGTGTTTTAAGCTTAAATCTATTATAGATTAATTTTAAGACATCTCTATTAGCTTAAGATGTTGGTGGGAGGGCAAAAGACAGATACGAGCATGAGATGGAAATGGGAAGAAATGCTTTCCAAAAACCCCATATGGCTTTGTCCCACTTCAGTGAGAACATGCATGTTTGTGAAATTTCACGTATTGCAGTTCTGATGGTTTTCACTCCAGTCACTGTGTAACATGTTGCAGCAGTGGTGGTCAGTAGGACACCCAATACCCAGCCACATATAAAATCTTGAGGTCAGGTATGACTTCCATGCATACATTCTCATATTGTTGAGTATTCTACAAAACTAATGCAAAGATAGCAAAACCAAGTTATTATCCAATGATTCAGAAAGTGTTTCAACTGGCCAAGAAAACAACCAGTTGAGGAGAAACTATCAGGCAAAACATGATAGATTAAAGGAATGCAATTGTCCCTAAGTGATTAAAAAATGTATTCCTTTTTGGAAGTTTATTGGATTATTATATAAGTCATTTGCTAACACTACAGAGTAAGTAAAGTGGCAAGTGGAAATTCAAACAGTGCATAAACACGGTGCATTTCTAACATATAACTAATTTGGGCTATGGTTTTGATCTTAAAAAATAGTATTAAATATTTAATATTACTTTCAAATAATTTAAACAAGTAAAACATTATACATGCTAATCTGACCTGGCAAAAATAAATTTCACAATTAGCAATCACTGAATCTTACTTCAATATTAACAAGTTTTAAAACATGTATTTTACAGACTGAAACAGCTGCCACTTACTGTTCATTCACAACAAAAATACAGTTGTCCTGTGATGGTTGCCCTGTTACTGGATGCTTGCAGGTTACTTTTCGTTCATTATGACTGTGGAAGAGAGATAAGAAAAATTATTAGGCAATAATTTTTTGATTTTCCAACTCAAGTGTATAAATCCAGTACATCAAGTATATCGGCCCAGCAAAAACAATTATGAATATTTCATTATGGCACATAACAGTGTATGTGTACACACACACACAAATGCGCATATATATATAAAGTAACAAAAAGAGTGATAACAATTATTAAAGAATCTTCATTAATACTCTGGAAATAGATGGAAAATATTGGCACTGGGTTGGTAATGATTTTTAATTTAAAAACTACATCAGTAAGAGTGTTACTAGTTCGTATGTAAACACTGATAATTCACTTCCAGTAAGTCTTTATATATTCATAAATAGGATTTCCGCTAGACAGGGACAAAGTTAAACATAAGACATAAACAACCGCTCTGTAGGGATAAAATACCACTACTGTAAAAGCAGTTGTCTTCTAGCTTAGAATGTGAAGTTACTAGTTTAAAATTTTCCAGTAATACAGATAAATATTCAGTAATTGGAACAAGAGTGCTGCATTTCAACCACAGTTCTACTCTTGCTGGTGACTTTTGAATTCAGAGTGCTACTCCCCTACAGCAACCTTGGGAGTCCTTCCCAGCGGCAGGGAGCCTGCCGGCGGAGGGCTTCACCCTCAGCAGCACAAAACACCCACTTCACAGTATCTTTGCCCTGAACTGCAGGTGTTCCTAGATCACAGCAGCTCCCACAATTTGGAAGAAATTGCCAAAATTCAACAACTATCACCTGCTGCCACTCAAGAAGGAAATGTTTTGAGCCCTCGAGCCCTGGAGGGGAAGGAAGAGAAGGGGAGGAATTGCCTTTACTGCCTACCAGCCATGTCAATCAGCTGACAGTTATAAACCTTGTGCCTGGTGCAGACCAGGGTTTTTCTACCCCTGGCCTCCAGGCCCCAGCCCCAGTTACACTACGAGCACACCTGAGAGCGTGGAGCTGACACAGCAGCAAGGCTACACAGCTACGAGAGGTGAGGGTGGCTGAACTGCAAGGACCCCTTCTGAACTCTCTAGCCCCAAAAGGTAGAACAGAGAGCAGGAAAGGTGCACTGACAAAATTTAAACATGGTTCAGTGATTAAAAAGCATACAAGCAGAAATCAGACTAAGAAAGGGCAATGAGTATACAATGCAGATGCATTATTTGGATATAACCCACACGCTTCAAAGCAAACTCACTTCTTCTGTTTTTAACACTTCAAATAATATTTCTAAACCAAAAAGTATATAGTGCAAAATCCCAGTATCTGAAATCAGCACTATAAATCACAAAGAAAATAATTCCATTTGATAGTGTTTACGTTTGCAAATAATAAGCGACAATAATCTTTTTCATGTAGGGTGTCTTATATATTACTATGCCTTTCTTATCACAGTTTCAGCCTTGAAAATTATTCTTGGATGGAGAACAAACTAGACAAAAAAAAAAAGTGCTTTAGTTGCAAGACAGCAGAAGAGGTGCAGAACAACAAAAGCTCTGAATGCCACTTTATCCTTAATACCTACTTCTTTTGTTACGTATTCATTTAACCAACTTAGCTTTCACAACTATGAAGCACAGCTCATCTTGCAAACGTTACTCTCTCTACCCTTCCTGCTTCTTAAAACAACCTGGACTTAACAAGACTATCTTAACATTTCCCAGTTTTTTTTTTGAAAATTCCTTTGGATCATAACGTTTTGCAATTATGGAGCATTACTAACTAAAAGTTACCTCCAAACAAAAGCCTAATAAAATATTCACACTACTTTCATGGTCAATGGATAGTTGGATAAATCTGCATAAACGTAAAGCACAAGATTAGAAAGATAGCCCAATTGTTTCAACTTTCTTTACTGGGATTTTAAAAACCTACTAATACCTAAATGGATAGACATGTTATGGAGCTTAACTAACGAGCTAGCAAATGCCAGTACTTTATCTTCATACCAAATTCAGCAGAATTCTACCTTTAGCTTCTAAAGAAGATTCTGTTGCAGAAATGCATCCATTACAATGAGGGGACAGAAAAGAGGGGACCTGACTATGTCTGTGCCATTCTTAATTGCCATGGTCATACAATGGCTTCCAAGTGAAAATGGCCCAGATTGAAGAGAATTAAAATTCAAAAAATTCCTGAGGATGCATCCAGGATTTTTTGTGATTCTGCTTTTTCTTCACTTCCAAAAATTTTTTTTTGTTCCCTCTGACATTTCAGAAACTCTCACACCAAACTGAAGAAAAAAATAATTATGAGCTGGCACTCCACAAGCTTTGCCAAAATGTTGCCATCTTGTTCATGTTAAACCTTGACAGCTGGCTATCAGCTGACATCCAGCAACGTAGAAATAAATGCTGAAGGACCATCGATACTCAGGACCGCTACAGAGGAGGCACATCCCATGTTTTGTATGAGTGCATTAAGCTCACATTGACATAGGAAGAGGCCACAAGACTGTAAAGGGGAGGTCATACAAAACCAGGAGGGAAAGCAGGAAGGGGGAGGAAAAGAAGAGAGAGAGAGGAAGCACTGACACAAACCTATTCAAGAATATTTTGTTTCAGGCTTGAGTCATATATCACATCAGTATTCCAAAAGTACCAAAATGTTTTTGGATGAAATACAGTTTTCCTTACTACTCTCACTAATGTCAAGATGTAGAGAGGTGTAGCTGACAGTACATAAAAAAAGGCAAAAAAATACCGTAGACATGAAACGCTCTCCTGTGGGATATACGATACTTTCTTTCTAGCATTTGAGATACCTTTATAGTCACTTCCTTCTAAAAAGGTGAGGCAAAGGAAGAACAACCTTTTCTTTCTCTTCAGCTTAGACGCAAGTGAAATCATGATTGAACACTGGCAATTCAGCTTGTACAACTAAGAAGTGTGACAACTGTAAATATGTCTAACTGGATGAACAGATTTTAAATACTTTCATTTCAAAACTTTTTCACTACTCATCTGAATTATTGCATTTTTGGCATTAATTTAGCTGATATTTTGACAAGACTCTTCAAAATACTTGTGTAAAGCGTAGAGTAGCTTGATAACTATTGTCATAATCCTCCCACATAACAGTAGGTTAAGGCATTTGTTCTAAACTCGATCTTGCAGACTACAGGGAGTTTCATTAAAACCAAACTACAATTTGATATTCACAACCTTCAACATACGATTTAGACAGTTGTTCAGTTATCCATGAATTTCCAGGTCCACACACACACTTAGTATTTCATATATTACACTATAATAATACATATTTCATCAATAAATCTCAGGGGAAATAAAGCAATTTTTTTTTTTTTTAACTGAGAACTCCAATTTCGATTTTATACAAACTCCAATGTGCAATTCAGAGTTTCAACTCTGCTTACTTATGTGTCTGTACTTTTATTATGTGGTAAAGCATGACTGACTTTGACACAGGCAGCTAGAAGTGGTAAAGCATGACTGACTTTGACACAGGCAGCTAGAAGCCAGTGTGTTGAGAGATACAGCCTCCAACAGGTATACGGAAACAACACTCCTCTTCCTTCTCCCTCCAATCAATTTTTCATATCAACACAAGGTGACTATAGACACACACACTGTTGTACTTATACTGAACGATATAACAGACGCTTACTATTTTAGCATCCATAGTTAGGTTGTATTAATGGCATGATAAACACTAGAGCCAAAGATGGAAAACATTCCCTATGTATTTTCTTAGTATCTATGAGCATACTCTCCACACTCAGTACATGGCACAAACTATTCCTCACTAGTATTTGCTCCTGGGATGTGTTGGGCTCCAGAAAGTGACAAAGCTGACTAAAATGACATGAGAGAGAAGAATTTCAATGCAAAATAGAGCATAATGGCCTGGGACAATGACCTGCTATAAAAGGATCAAAATCAAAACAAAACAAACCAACAATAAATAAATAAAAAAACCCACAACACAAACTTCTAACCACACCAAAATAGTTCACGCAGGGACAAGTTCCATTTTCAGCCATCTCAGTGCAAGACAACTGATACCAACTTAACAGCACCAACTTGACCTCTTTTCTCCAGAACTTTTAAACTTCTCCTTCCCAATTCTTTCCTCTGAACCACTGCAAACTTTGGCATCATTTAGCAGGTAGCTTAGCTTTGGCACATGGACAAGCCCTCAGAGAAAAAGGATTTATCTTGTTTAGGTTAGAAGTTGACAGTAACCTTGAATTTGACTCATGTTATTTGCCTTTTTATCTACTCTTTCTCCTTTCCATCCCTTGAGACCCTTAACCTCTTTGGAAGACAGGATTATTTTACTTATTTTCTAGACATGTTCACAAAACATTGTTGTGTAGTTTTAAACTACTCATTAAATATACAGTCAACAGCAATCTTTTTGATGGCCAAATGTGATCCAAGGACTAGTGAGAAAAAAAAAAAAGGCCCTCAAATAGAACAGATAGAATAATTTATTTGAATGAAAATAGTAACAGAATGCATAATTCCAGGAGCAGCACTTGCCAACAGAAGTCCTACACAAGCAGCACTGTTTGTTTGTTTTCGTTCTACCTTGTGTTTTACAGGACTGCTGACCCAAAAATGCTGTGTACTAGTGTTTTGTTTTAACACACACCACCACAAAAAATCAGAAAATTCAAAATTCTGTCCAGGTTTGCCATTTTGAAATTGCTATCATCTTTGAATAGGGAATAAATTCAGATAATAGCAGTTGGAATGGAAAAAAGAGAAATATGTAATCCAGTTGTACACGAGGATGCACACAGTTAAAAATGAAGGGTTAGACTATCTTTCCTCTGGAACCGAGCACTTCACTCAGAAGTGGCAAGAAAGATCAAAGTACTAGCGTGGAGACAGCTGGTTTGGGGTCTCTCCATTGTATGATTTGGTTGAGTTTCCTGTCCTCTCTCTCTCTAAAAAAAAAAAAAAAAAAAAAAGCTGGGCCAGAACTCCCAAAGACACATCTGGTTTTCTCCCACT